AGATGTAATGCTGGAAGATGAGCCCCTCAGGTCGGAAGGCACTCAAAACACAACTGGGGAAGTGCTGCCTCCTCAGAGTAGAGTCAACTTAACGACATGGATGGTGTAAAGCTTTCAGGACCTCCATTTGCTGATAGCGCATGACTCAAAATGGGAAGAAATAGCTGCCAATACGCATTAATAATTGGAATGTGGAATGTACAAAGTATCAATCTAGGAAAATTGGAAGTTATCAAATATGAAATGGAACAGATAAAGATAAATATCCTAGGCATTAGTGAGCTGAAAGGGACTGGTTTTGGCCATTTGAAATTGAAAAATCAAATGGTCTACTATGCCAGAAATGACAAATTGAAGAGGAAGGACGTGGCATAAATTGTCACAAAAAGTGTTTCAAGAGCTATCCTGAAGTACAATGCTACCAGTGACAGGATAATATCCATACACCTACAAGGAAGACCAGTTAATACTACTACTATTCAAATTTACGCACCAACCACCAAAGCCAAAGATGAGGAAACTGAAGATTTTTACCAACTTCTGTAGACTGAAATTGACCAGACATACAATCAAGATGTATTAATTACTAGTGATTGGAATGCAAAAGTTGGAAACAAAGAAGAATCACCAGCAGTTAGAAAATATGGCCTTGGTGATAGAAATGATGATGGAGATCACATGATAGAATTTTCCAGGACCAACAACTTATTCATGACAAATATCTTTTTCAACAACATAAACAGCTATACATGTGGACGTCACCAGATGGCATACACAGGAATCAGATCAATTACATCTGTGGATAGAGGCAAAGGAGAAGCTCAATATCTTCAGCCAAAGCAAGGCGAGGAGCTGACTGTGGAACAGACCATCAACTGCTCATACGCAAGTACAACTTGAAGCTGAAGACAATTAAAACATGTCCACAAGAGCCAAAATATGACCTCGATTATATCCCACCTAAATTTATTTAGAGACCATCTGAAGAATAGATCTGACACACTAAACACCAATGACTGAAAACCCAACAAACTGTGGGATAACATCAAGAACATTGTACATGGAGAAAACAAAAGTCATTAACAAGACAAGAAAGGAAGAAAAGACCAAAATGGATCTCAGAAGAGGCTCAGAAATTTGCTCTTGAATGGAGAGTAGCTAAAGCAAATGGAAGAAATGACAAGATATAAAAGCTGAAGATTTCAAAGAGCTGCTTGAGAAGACAAAGTTAACTATTACAATGAAATGTGCAAAGACCTGGAATTAGAAAGCTGAAAGGCAAGAACATGCTGAAAGAACTGAAGCAAAACATTGAATGATGCAGGAAGCATCAAGAGATGGAAAGAACACACAGAGTCAGTGTACCAAAAAGAATTGGTCAATGTTCATCTATTTCAGGATGATATGACATAATGTCAATAACTAATGGTAATGAAGGAAGAAGTCAAAGCTGAACTGAAGGAATTGGCAAAAAACGAGGCCCCAGGAATTGACGGAATACCTATTGAGATGTTTCAATAAACAGATGCCATGCTGGAGGGACTTACTCATCTATGCCAAGAGATTTGGAAGACAGCTACCTGGCCAACTGACTGGAAGAGATCCATATTTGCACCCATTCCAAAGAAAGGTGATCCAGCAGAATGTGGAAATTATTGAACAATATCATTAATATCGCATGTAAGGAAAATCTTGCTGAAGATAATTCAAAATCGGTTGCAGTAGCGTATTGACAGAGAACTTCCAGAGGTGCAAGCTGGATTCAGAAGAGGAC